GCAGATAGGAACTGATGAGTTCAAATGAAGGAGAGACTTTTAACTGCAGGAAAAAGAAGAATAAATCAGTTCTCAGGCAGCCGTTCCCACTGAGCTGAAAGAGAAAGATGCTCGGGTGTGTTCATGGTGACCAATCACAGACAGACGTGTTGATGTTAAACGCATACGTACTGTACGGGACGCACTCGTACTGCACTTCCAGGTATTTGTATGTCCCGGGACAGGGGTCGGGAAATGCATCCGGTCCGGCCACGACAGCGCACTGCGTCCGGTTATTACACCTGAAAACACACACACAGATGGGATAAAGATCATTAGCGGTGTGTTACTATTGCTCATACTCTGGTTTAGAGGTTCGCTGACATTTAGAACCTTTAGTCTTACACAGTTTGAGCGCAAAACATGCATTATATTTGCAATTTTTGAAGAATAAAAGAAACAAAAATCTGACTTTGGAGGGACTGAACCACATGTTCAATTAACAGAATGTCACATAGATTTGAGAATGGACTGTTTTCACTTTTGGGCCAGTAAATAACTTCCCAGAACCATCCACAGTAACCATTAACCATCCAGAATACCGTAGTATCAACACAGTAATATGCTAAAATCCTTAACAAGCAGTTTTACAGGGATTTTTTACAGAAAGTTTTACAGTTTTACACCAATATTTTATTTTGAAATCTAAACTCTAAGAAAAGTCTAATGCACTGCTTTGATATGAGGGATTTTACAGTATTATTATTATTATTATTATTATTATTATTATTATTATTATTCTTATTACAGGTGTTTTACCCATATTTTGAATTATTTTAGAGTTGAATGAAATGTCTATAAATTATCAAAAACTATACTAGTAATTTTCTGACAGGACATTATCCGTTTTTCTACAATTGTTTTCCTTAAATTGTATTTAAAACCGAAATACGGCATTTAAATGGCATCTCAGAACTTATGTAATGCTTTAATTGTATTTTAATCATACTTTAAATGACATCAAGTCAAAATGGACCTTATTTACTTCTTAATAAATATCTCTGCTTGTATTATGATTTATTAATGCACACTACTCATATTTTTTCATCAAAATGTAATAACTTTATAATGCAATACACTAACACTTAACAACCTTTTCGTCCTTTTTGGAGCATGAAACATTTGGATCCCATTGACTTTTATTGGATACACACCAAAAATAAATAAATAAATAATACAAAAAAAAAATATACAATTAAATTAAAATATTCATCAAATATATTATTTTATGCTCCATAGAAAAAAAAATATCACTGGAAGTGTGACTAGTGAAAATTAAGTACGCGTAATTGTAGTGAATGTGCACTACAAATCTTAAAATTATACATTTTTTAATAAACTATACTTGTAGATAATATAATACTAAGGTGACTAAAAGAGAGACACTTCCATGACTTTCTAAACACACTTAAGCACACTTTTAAAAAGTGACCTTTGTAATAATGTCAAATTAAAAGTTTTACTTAAGTACATTTTAAATCATTATATTTTAACAATCATTTGTTGTGTTTTAAAGATGTGTTGACTAACGTACTAAAGCACATGTAAAGTACTAATGTGTAATTACAAATATGAGATACAAGTTTCAATAGAAATGACATTAAAGTACATTTTAGTTGATCGTAAATGCTTGCAATCATAAATGGTTGTTTGAAACTGGTTCCACTTATAACAAGCTCCTTTGTCGATATCGTGTAAATAACTATGCAATGGCTACAGAAATATATTGCAGCATTAACAGTGCAGCAGAATCTGTGCCGCATGACACTTTTCTACGGTCACGTGTTTTATACCATCTTATCACCCAACCGTATCATAAATTATCAATCATGATTTCCTGCTGAATATTCAGTTTCTGGGGGTAATACGCCACATTACAGATTCAAATCGAGTTTTAAAGAATCATGGCGATAGTTTAAAGATGAAATCTTCCATGAGGTTCAATGTCAGAGTAATGTCAGCGGATCAGTGTGAGATGAACGCCCAGCACCTGAGACACTCGCGGCTGATTGAACCGTTAGCATGTGGCTAATGAGGGGGAACAAATGCTTTCTGAGTGCTGGGGTGTGTGTGTGTGTGTGTGTGTGTCTGTCTGTCTCTGTGTGTGTGTGTGTGTGTGTGTGTGTGTGTGTGTGTGTGTGTGTGTGTGTGTGTGTGTGTG